TTCTCTTCGCATCACCGACGCCCCAAGGCCCTGGGCGGCCTCGGCGCCGGTGCTGCGCTGCCGGGGGCTGCGCGGGGAGCACCCGGGGCGGCCGGGGCGGCCTGCGCTCCGCGGCCGCGAGCGCGCCGCGCGGCGGGCCCGCCGAGCGGGTGGTCCTCGCCGCGCTGCAGCTGCCGCACTGCCGGGCTGCCCCGGCGGGCCCTGAGGGCAGCGGGGCCGGCTGCAGCGCCAGCGGCCGCGTCGGGCCCGCGGGCGGGAGGAGCCCGCGTCGGGCGGCGCCCGCGGCCGGCAGGCGGCGCGCGCGGCGGGGGCTCGGCGGCATGCTCGGAGCGAGGCGGGCGCCCAGCGCGAGCCCTCCCGCGCTTCCGGCAGGGCCCTCCCGATGGGCCGAGCCTGGCGCGGCGGCCGCAGGGCTCTCGGTGGCGGCACGCGCCCCCTTGAGGGAGCTTCGCCGCCATCTTCTCCTGCCTGAGCGTGCCTGCGAGCGCCGCCGTCGCAGAGCCATGCGGCGGCGCCTGGGCGGAGGAGGCGGAGGAGGAGGAGGAGGAGGAGGAGGAGGAGGAGGAGGAGGAGGAGGAGGAGGAGAGGGCGGAGGAGAGGGCGGAGGAGGAAAGCGAGAGGGCCCAGAAGAGAGCCTCATGAGGGTCCGGATGACGTACGGAGCTTTGAACGTGGCCCCAAGACGGCCCAAGAGGAGCCAAGACGGCCCAAGAGGGTCCCAAAAGGTTCCGAAGAGGCCCACACGAGGACCTGAGAGCCCCTGCACCCCCCCCAAGAGGCCCAAAGAGGTTTCAAGACTGCCTCCAAGAAGGGAGGGGGCCCACCGCTCTTGACACGCCCGAGAGAGCTTCGCCTTCAACTGAACTCTCACAGAACGGCCTCCCCAATGCAGCGGAGCACGTCCGACCCAACAGCGGTTTCTGCTAAAATGCTGGCAAATCTCATGCCCTCCTGGAGCTCCCTCGGGCCCTCCCCGGAGATCCTTGCGAGCCTCCCCGACGCTCATGGTGGCGTTCGGGCCTCCTGAGCCCTTCCCCGGTGGCTCCGCAAGCCTCTCTGCCCCCAGAGGGACTCCCATTAAGAACAATCTAACAAGACAGCACGTCCGACCCGACAGCGGTTTCTGTTAAGATCCTCGTACATGTCATGCCCTCTTGAAGTTTTCCGGGGCCCTCCCAGGAGATCCTTCGAGCCTCCCTGGCGCTCCCAGTGGCTTTCCCCGAGGGCCTCCCGAGCCTTTCCCCGGTCGTTCCTGAGACGCCTCAGATGGGCTTCGACTTTTACGCACATCCCCTAGAGACTTCAAGACTGCTGCCATTAGGAGGGGGGTCAACGAGCCGCGTGCCGGGGCCAAGCTGCTGGAGCGCTGCAAGAGCTCGGACACGATCGCGCGGTCTCGCTGCCGCCTCCCCGGCCGCCGCCGTGCTTAGTGGTTTTCGGCAACATCTCCGCCGTTCCTCCGAGAACCATTCCAGAAAGACGTCGTAGATGGAGTCCACGGGTCAGCCCTAGTCTCTCCTACAATAGGCGGGTCCGCGCGTGCGGTGCCTAGCGCAGTGGCAGCGAGCCGCCCCCCCCCCACCCCCCCGGCCGCTTCGGGGTGGCCGTCGGGGTCGCCTCGGAGCCTCTGGAGCGGCTCCGATCTGGAGCGGCTCCGATCGCGCAGCGGACGCTCCGTGACTGCCGAAGATCCGCTCCAGACGCCTCCAAGACGGCTTCAGGACGGCTCAAGACGCCCCCGAGCTGCCCCGAGAGATCTCCGAGCGGGCCGTTACGACGCAAAAATCGTTTCATTCCTTTCGTAAAACGTACATTTTTGGAGAACTCGCTCTTCTGGTCTGCGCGGCGTCCAAGACGGTCGAGGACGCTTCCAAGACCGCCCCAACACGGCCCCAGAGGCCCCCCAGAGAGCCCCAGTCGAGACCAAAACGGCCCCTCAGGGCCCCAAGACGGCTCGCGAGGGACCCAAGAGGGCCCCCAGAAGCTCCCAAGAGAGCCCCGAGAGGGCCACGGGAGGCGCCCAAGAGGGCCTCCAAGTACCCCCAGAGCGCCCCAAGACGGCCCGTGCCCCCCAAGACGGCCCCGGAGGGCCCCAGAGCGGCCCCAGAGCGCCTCAAGTGGGCCCAAAAGAGCCTGACCAGGACCCTCCAAGAGGCTCCCAAGAGAGCCCCGGGAGGGCCACAGGAGACAGCCCAAGATGGCGGGGGTCGGAGCGGTGCGAACTGCCAAGATGGCCCAAGATGGCTCTAAGAGGGCCTCCGAGGGCCACTATCGCATACTGTAGGCCCGCTCTCTGCGCCAAAGGGGTCTGCGGAGCATTTTTCTAAGGAAAAGTGCTTGTAGATCCCTGTGGGGGCCACTTGACAGGGCACGGTGGCGTTTTTTTGTCGTGACGACGACGACGACGACGACGACGACGACGACGACGACGACGACGACGACGACGACGACGACGACGACGACGACGACGACGACGGGTCTCGGCCCTGCCCGATCATGATAGGGCAGGTTTTCGACGCCATTTGGGCCCGCTTTGGGCCGTCTCCGCCAGTGGCAGCAAGCACGGGTACACACTAGTCTACACTACAACGCAGGGACACGTGCGTGCGGGAAGTGCGGGCGCTGGCGGGGCGTAACCGGCTTCCCTGGTCGCCCCACGACGCCCCGAGACGCACCAGATGGCCACAGAGCGCCCAAGACGGCCCAAGAGGGCCTTCGACTAGGTCCCACAGCGCTCCGAGATGCCCAAGCTGGGCCCCAGACGGCCCAAAAGTCTTCCCGAGACGCTCCAAGTCGGCTCCAGGACGAGCCCCCAAAAGGCCAGATCAATGAAAAAACGTTAAAATTCCTGGGGGGAACGAGCCTTTTTCCAGGTCCACTGCTTTTCGTCCACTGCGATGTCCACACGGCCCTACTGGCCCTCCAGATTACCCTGGAAGCCCCCTGGACGGCCCCAAGACGGCCCCACGATGGCTCTTGAGGCGCCGTTGGCAGACCAAGAGGCTGCCATGACAGCGCCACGACGGTCCCAAAGACGACCCAAGAGAGCCCCAAGGCGGTCCGAGGACAGCCCCGGAGCCGCCCAAGACGGTCCCAGACGGCCCCTAGACGGCCAAGGGGCACCCGAGACGGCCCAAGAGGGCCCCAAGAGGCTCCCAGGAGGCCGCCAAACGGCCCAACAAGGCCCCAAGAGGTTCTTACAAGGCGGAACAGAGGCCCCGGGGCGCGGCCACACCCACGGAAAGTAAACCCCGATTTCGAGGTTTATTTTCCGACGCTCTGGGGCGGAGCACTGGCCACGTCCACGGAATGCCAGTACCTCTTTCGAAGTCTTCCCCCAGGCTCCAGATTGGGCACAGACATCTCCCCCAGATCGTTCGTGGATCAATGACGCCCACGAAGAAGACTCCGTAACCTTGGAGGCCATTCTCCATGGTCCCGCGGTCGGCCCCCAAAAAGCCCCCCTAAGACCATTCCTCGGCCCGCCACGTCGACGGAAAATAAGCACCACGCTCGAGGTTTATTCTGAGACGTCTGTCTTCAACCTGCGCTTTGGCGCTTACTCTGGAGTTCTGGATTTCGTTTCTGCGGTGTTTCGTCTCTACCCTCCCAATGCATCACCTGGGGCGCGGCCACACCCACGGAAAATGAACCCAGACTTGGAGGTTTATTATCCGACACCCTGGGGCGGAGCAATTAATCCTCGCACAGGACGTTCGTCGGCTCGGAAGAATGCCAGTATCAACTTTGAAGGTTTACCCCCAGGCTCCTGATGGGGCACAGACGTCTCGCAAGGATCATTCGCGGATCAACGACGCCCACGAAGAAGATTCCGTAACCTTGGAGGTCATTCTCCATGGTCCCGCGGTCGGCCCAAAAAAAACACCCAAGACCATCCCTCGGCCCGCCACGTCGACGGAACATTTTCGCCACTCTCGAGGTTTATTATCCGAGGTCCCAGGTGGGCTCCAGGGTTCTGGCGAGACGTCTTTAGCAAACCTGCGCTTCGGCGCTTACTCTGGGGTTCTTGGTTTCGTTTGTGCGGAGACGGAGGGTGAAGGAGAAACCAATGTTGTGTCAGAGAAGGGCGGGCAGCGGTTCTACCCTCCAGCTCGGCGCACCCCTCACACGGCTCGTGGCTGCATACGGAGCGTTGCCCGTCTCCGAGGGTGCGGGCACAAGGGCGCGAAGGTTACCAGGCCTCGCGCGGCGCAGCGCCGCGAGGTGTTTGGGTGGCACAGGATCTGGGCGTGCTTCCGAGAGGCGGACCAGGCGATGGACGCGGAGAGGATGCCAGCCTCTGCCCAGGCTCGGGCCAGACGAAATCGGCAGGGCCGAGTTCACACACAGACAGTTCGCCTTCAGGAGGGCTCCTCGCCGCCACGGCTGGATGCAGCAGACAGCACTGGTGCGCTTCGACAGGGGGGGGGGACCAGGCACCGATTCTGACAGCTCCGCATGGGGCTCTTCGGCCTTCCTGACGCTTGCTCGGCGCTCCCTGCCAGATTTGGCCCAAAATCCATCTTATTTTTGGTCGTTCACGAGCCTTCTCCTGGGCCTCTTGGGGCCCTGACGTGTCTCGCTCCTGCAGCCTTCCTGGGGGCCTCTTGGACGGAATCCATGGGTCAGTCCTGCCGACTTCGCCAGCCTTCTTCTGGTGTCCACAACCCACGACGACGACAACCACCACCACGACAACGACGCCGTCTACGACGGATACGACGGCGGCCTCGCGGCGGCGACGACAACAACGCCGACGATGACGGCGACGACGGCGGCCCCGCGACGGCCAAGCTGCTGGAGCGCTGCTAGAGCTCGGACACATAGGCGTGGTCTCGCTGCCGCCGCCCCGGCCGCCGCCGTGCTTATAAGTTTTCCGCTAATTTCCATTGTTCCTCCGAGAACCATTCCAGAAAGATGTCGTGGACGGAGTCCACGGGTCAGCCCTAGTCAGCTACAGTGCTGGGATCAGCGCATGCGAGAAGGGCGAGCAGTGGCAGCGGGCGCTGGCGCTGTTGAGCGACATGTGGAAGGCGAAGGTGGAGCCCAACGTCATCTCTTCTACGCTGCAGGAACCCCTGCGTGCCAGAAGGTGCTGTGGATCAGTTGCCTTTTCTCTCCCTCCGCGAGGCCCCGGGAGGCCGAAATACGTTCCCGGGGCAGCTCCGACAACCCTGCGGGCCTCGGGCCACGCCCCCTTCATGGCCCAGCGGAACCCAAAGGCGGCCGAAGAGGAGGCCCCCAAGACGCGCTAAGAAAGGCCCACACGGGCCCGCAGGACAGCCCCGAAATGCCCAAAGCGCCCCAGTCCCTTGGGAAAGCGTGCATGGCTTGGCTCATTGGCGCAGGACGACCGATTGTCCTCTTGGTGTGAGCATGGCAGGGCGATGAGGCCGGCATCGGCGGCAGCAACCGGGAGGAGAGAGATGTAACTTCATGTTGAGTGGGGCCCGCGCCCCGCAGAACCTTCGCACGTGCGGGCCTGGGGTCTGTGGATCCGATTTCGGTCGGCTCCCTGACTTAATTCGGGGGAAAACAAACCTACCTCGCTTTTGACCACCCTCGCTTCCAAGAGATACCAAACAATGCCAAATTGCGGCCTGTACTGGTCAGGACGCTTGACGAGGAGGCGCGTGGTATGGCTTGGTTTTGCCTGGAAGCGAAAGCGGGGGAGGTAATTCACGCTCTGATTAATTAAATCGTAGAAGTTCAAAATCAGGGTAGAGGTCGGACCCGCCGTACAAAAACGGGACGGGTCCGCCGTAAAACCGGGACGGGATGCGGAACCCGAAAGACCGGAATCGGATCCGCGCAAGCAGAAAAACCGGATCCACGGCAACACGCATCAACATCATGATCGGATCCGCGCAAACTTGATTGGATCTGCCACCGTTCCTCCGGTACGTGTCCGTGCCTGACTTGAACCGTCTTCCTCCGGGCCCAAGAGGAGACACTTTCGTCTTGGGGATGGATTGGTTTGGTTTGTCTTCACAGCGTTCCAGCAGGCCCTGGAGGCCTACCGAATTCCCCCAAGACAACATCAGAGGGCCCCATGAGAGCCCCAAGACGGCCCAAGACAGCCCCATGACAGTCCAAGAGGTGCCCAGAACAGCCCAAGAGGGCCCCAAAAGGCTCCCAAGAGGGGGAACTCGAAGTGACATGTTGCGCCCTCCGCCCCAGGATGGTCCCAGAAAACGCCACCAGGCCCCCAAGAGGCCCCCCAGAAGCCCCAGATGTCCCCCAAGACGCCCAAAACAGGCTTCAATAGGGCCGGAGAGGCCCCAAGGTACCCCCCAAACCGCCATCCGAGGGAAGATCCTTAGGTGACCGCGCCGACCACCCAAAAGAGCCCATTGAGCGAAGGAGACCAGATGTTTTGCGACGCGCGCCGAGGCCATGGAAACATGCGTGCGTTGGCTTCTTATCATCCCCCTTTCTCGCTCCCTTCTCCTCGCTCCACGCGCATCGCTCCTCCCCGTTCTCTCCTCGCCCCTTGCCTCCCTCGCCTCGCTTCTGGCTCCTCTGTTCTCGCTCCACCTCGCTCGCTTCTCCCTCCCGGGGGCCTGGATCAGGTGATGGCGACGGACGCCTCCAGCTCTGGAGGTTCCCAGGTCGCCAGTGCGCCAAACACTTGAGGCCCGAATGGTTCCGCAAGCAGTGCAAGAACCTGGAGGACAAGAGTGCAGTCGGGGCCCTGAAGAAGGAACCCTTTTCGTTGGGGAGGGGCTCCGCGTTCCTTAAGTGTTTCGCAGCTTGCCTCAGGTTTTCCTTATGTCTTCGATCGGAAATCGAAGTTTAATTTATGGGAAAAAAGGGGCCTCGTTCCTTATTTTGGGCTCCTTAGGTCAAGGCCCTGACTGTATAACTAGGAGTGCGACGCCAACTCCAGCCTCGAGGAGCCGCCGGGGCGAACGGGCCACCGCCACCGCCCCTAGCGGTCGGCTTGCGGCCCACGCCGCGCCCAGCGATGGTGCCAGTGTCGACGAGCGCGAGGAGATGGCGGAGCGTTCCGAGCGTTTCGGGGGCGTGGCGACCGTTAGCCAAAGGTTGCCTTGGAGAGGGAGCGCGCTGCTGAGCGAAGGCCCGAGGAGACGGCCTTGCAGCAACGTGCTTCGCAAACGCACTCAGCAGTTCCCAGCGTCGGGACGAAGCTCGGCAAGGATCTTGAGCAGCTCGAGAAGTGGAAGACGTGGGCTGTCGAAGAGCAGTGCGCAGCCTAGGAGCTTTCCGAGGAACTCGACCAAGCAGATTTGCATCACAGAGAGCTGGTTGCATCCTCGCGTTGCTGCTTTGTGCCTTCGGGGCATCCTCGGCGGGAAGATGCAATCGCTGGAGTTCACAGATGAAGGCGACATCTTCGGCCTACGAGGCGATGATTACCATAGCACCGAAGAACATAAGCAAGCTTTGGAACCGCGCGCCAAGGCGTTGCAGGCTAACATCACCGAGGTTACTCGCAAGGCCTTCGGTGACATCGGTGTCAAGACCGACAGTCTCAAGGAGGATCACAACAAACACGCGGCACGCGCCCAGGCCTGGCACAGCGCGCAAGACCGAGTCGGACTGCAAGCCAGGATCTGCACCAAGCGGGGCGCTGAAGGTGCAGATGGAGGCAGTCGAGGTGGTTGCGGCCCAGCTGGCTCAGCGGGCCCGAAGCCGACCGGGGCGCTTCCAGGTACATCAGCGGCGCCAGCCAGTAGCGCCTGCAGCATCGGCAGAACCAGGCGACGCATGCGAGCGAGCACGCGCGGCACCGGGGGCAGGCCCCCCCCCCGCACAGGGCGGAGCTCAGGCCTGGGGGGGGGGGCAGAGGAGTTGCGAGTCTGTGCGCGGGCGATTCTGAGGCGCCAGAAGCTTTGTTGTGCAAGTTCGGGTTTTCCTTTCACCGCAGCAAGTTCCCAGGCTGCGCCACTTTGCGCCCCCCGAGCAGAGCTTCGAGCCCCTGGGCATTTTTCTTCGGTCCCCGCCGCGCCCTGGGCTTGAGAGTTTTGGTTTGACTGTGGAGGCGGTCAATGTTAAATCCTGGGGGTCAGAAGAGCCGACGTGGCCACTGCGGATTAGTGCGCGCATTGCGCGATTGCAGGAGCATGCGCTTCGCAGGAACAAGTCGATGGGGCACCAACCAGGACCTCGAGGAATGGACGGAGGTCAAGGTTTACTTGTGCTGACCAGGGAGCGGGCCCAGGGGCACCGAGCGGAGTGGCGACGTTCGCTCGACGTCTCCTGGGTAGCCATGATGTGGAAGGAGGCCCCCTGGCATTCCCGCCCAAGGCAATCGCGCGATGGGCTCACATTTCCCGGGATGTTCCCGTCTTCCACGCGTCAGTGCGCCCAAGGGGCTCTCAGGGCGTCTCCGCAGAGAACTAATGCACCATTGCTCCTGTTGGCCCTCTTGCTCGCCGCTTGAAGGGGCCGCGCATCGCGAGAGGAGATCCCAGCGTGGAGCCATCGCAGCTGAATGAGAGCGACCTCGCAGCCAGCTTCGTCGCCCCGTCGCAGAGGGCACGTGCTCCTCGGCGGTCTCAGACGACATGGCCGGCTACATGATTGCGTCAGGTGGGCTGCCCAAATATTTCAGATCAGCCCGTCTTTCATTGGGAAGTAGCGCAAATACCCACAAGCGAGTTCAGGCGCAGTTTCACCACATGTTTGCGGCCATGCGACGCTTTTCGTTCGCCGGCCCGCGCCCGCCCTTGTGGAGGTCCCGATCGAGCCCTGCCCTGGACCCCCTTCCTGGGGCACCGTCCTGGACTGCGCTCCGAGTGGGCTGCTTTCGGTAAGAGAAGGGCCCCCAGGGGCGACGCGCAGAGACGCTTGAATCTTTTGCGCAAGAAGTTGGTCAGAGCCGTCAGCTTGAAGCCGCCCGCGTGGAGATTTCGCGTCGGGCGCCAGGGGGCGACTGCCAAAGTTGACGTGGAAGGCGGCTTCAGATGCAGACGGGGAGGATATGGTCAAGCGACCCACGTTGCATTCGCTGGCTGGAGAGCGCGCTCCACCTTTTTAGTCAGCTTAGGGCAGAGCCCGCAGAAGGTGGCGGGGGCCTCCTCGACCGCGGGCGCAGCGCTTTTGCTGCAGTCCGATCTCGCAACGGCCCGCGCAGGTCCAAGCTCCGCCAAGGCCTCGCCCGGGGACGGGGAGGGATTCAGGCGTCAGCCCCCGCGCCAGCGCGCCCGTCAGCGCCGGCGCTCAGCGCCGCTGCTAGGCGCAGCGCCCGCGACCTTGCAGATGCGCTGCTTGAGGGGGCGCTTGCTGACCCACCAGGTGCGCGTCGAGCTTGGCGCGGGCCCGTGGGAGGCGCCGCTCGACTGGGGGCCGCGCCACTGGGCGTCCAGGACTACTCCGCCGAGGCTGCAATCCTGTCGCTGGAACATCAGGCGCTGCATCAGGAGTCGAGGGCGCTCAATCTCAGCATCGTTTATCCGGCCCGCATCTCCATCCCCAACCCTTCGAGACCCCGACCAAATTGCCCCCGTAGTTAGGGGTGCACCCCTCGAAGCCCGAAGGGGGCGGCCTATGCCCCCATCTAGGGGGCAAATCGGCCAGCGGTGCCCGGGCCGCGCCGCTGGGGACGGGGATCGGTCAAGCGATGCTCGCAACCAGGTTGCGGGCCCCGATGATTTTCAGGGGCTCAGGGGCCCTTCTGGGCGCAGGTGCGCGCCGCGCGTTGCTAGACGAAGCATCTGAGGCCGTTGGGGAATATTCCACGCAGGCCAAGCGGGGGAGTTAAAGCGCGGCTACTCGAGGGGATTCAGAGAAGATGCGGGCAGGGCCCACGCGGGGGTAAGATTACCCATGGAGTGGGTGCCCACGTTTACTCTTTCGCCCAATGGAATTGTTTCGCCAGACCCCAAGTTGGCACCCTCGGGCGATGTCAGTTAGTTTAGCGCTCTCTGGAAGGCCTCAGCTGGGGCCGGCGCCAGATCCAAGGATGAATATTTGCAGCCGCTCGAGTTCCCCAGCCCAGCAGCCATTGGGCGTGCACCCAGGCAGCGCGACGCAGCTTCAGCCGCGCCCATAGAACATGCAACTTCTCTCTCTGTCGGCGCCCCCCTTGTGGCGACGCTGGCGACGAGCGCGATGGGACATGCGCCCCTCCTGCCGAGCCAGGTCAGAACCGCCCCCGCGCCTCCCTTGGAGGCCGCCGGGGGGCCGGAGGTCGACGGGGCAACTCGGCGCCCTCCACCGCCTGCGGGGCAAGCTCAGATGGCCAGCGGCAGGGACATGGGGGGCCGAGAATCCCAGGACGTCGGCAGAAGGGAAGTTTGCAGGGGCGGCTGTTGTTGATGGGGCGCTAACCGGCTTCAGCCGGAAGCTGCTGTCCGAGATCTTGGGGCCGGGAATCCCAGGACGTCGGCATGAGGTAAGTTTGCAGGAGCGGCAGTTGTTGATGGGGCGTTGACCGGTTTCAGCCGGAAGCTGCTGTCCGAGATCTTGGGGCCGGGATGTCAGGCAAGCAGATTCGGGGGCGCCTCGGCGCGCGGGGCCCGTTTCCATCGAGCACCAGTCGAAACTGATAACAAGCGACGATGGCAAATCAGCGGAAGGCACGGCTCGACAGGTAAGCCAAGGTATCGCCCACGTCTCAGCATAAGTGTCCTCGTTCGAGGTGGCGCAGGGCAGTGCCTCGGTCATTTGCTCGTCGGCGAAGGCAGGTCCGGGGGGGCACAGTGCGCTTGGCAAGTATGGATGCTCTGCTTTGGTGAAGTCGGCGTTCGACTTAGGCGCCGACGACGCGGCGGGGGAGAGCAGGATGCAGACGGGGCAGGGAGCGCGCCATCACGTTCCCAAAGAGGACAATCAGGTTCAAGCGAGCCCAGGACCCCTTGGGGTCGAACGTTCGGCAGGTCGACGCCAGCGGGCCTTCGGCGGGGTTGAATTACGGCTACGAGGGCCCATGGGGCGTCTGACTACGAGTCGAGGAACGCGAGGTGGAAGTTGGGTTCAACTTTGCGTCCGTCGGCAGAGATGAAGTATTTGACATATTTGTTGTTGTCGTTGTAAGGAGGTCCCTCATGGTCTGAATCTGTATCGCTGATTTTTGCCAGCCAGCTGAACCTGTTTACACGCGCGCGCATTGCCTGTCGCGAAGCTCAGGGAGGCATGCTCCTCGGCGTTTTGTGCCAGAGCATGAATTGCTGTGGAGATGTTACTGGCCCGATGATGACCATGCCCATGAACCTTGTGGGAAACAAGGCAACTGTGAGCAGCTTCGGCGTCACAGCCAATGATTTCGGGAAAGAAATCCTGCTCACCTCGTGTCTTCCAACCCTCGTTAAATAGTCGTTGAAAGAAGTGGTTTTGACTTGCGTCAGCTTGAACGCGAGCCGTGGGAGTTCCGCGGGGTCCAGGGAAGAGCATGGTACGACATAGTTTCTGGGGCCCTCAAATCCAGCAAATACATGGGCTATGAGAAGGGCTGCATCAAATCCTTGAAGCACGGCCCATGTGGACCAAGGATCGCGCGGTCTAGCGGGGCCACGAACTGCCATCGCCTTAATGCTCCCTGTGCGGTAGTTTCGCGGACGGGGTCGAACAGAGACTCTGGCAGCGCCCGCATGCGCAGTGCGAGAGGGAAGAATTCGTTGTTCGCGCGATCATCGAGGTGGCCCTGAGCGTAGATTTTCAAGATGATACAGGAGACGCCGCTATCCACGAAGGCTGTGCTTCAGCATCCAGGAGATCGCTTGCTGCGCCCCCGTCGGGAAGGACGCATTACTGGGCGTCGCCTACATCAGGGCCACCAAGGGAAACCAGGAGAGGTTTTCAGGCTGTGTTCGTGGACGGTTCTTGTACCAGGCACCAGTAATGGAACTCCGTAGGGCCTCGTGGGGATATGTACAGATCACCCAGGGGAGCAAAAGCTCTGTCCGGTGCCGGGGTCTTTATGGGGACGCCTGCTTCAAACGCCTCAAGCAGGCGAGCGTGTTGCCATGGCCATGGTGGCCAACCGTTGTTCGGGGTCCACCTTCGGTTTTCGGATTGTAAAAACGTGGTGGACCTTTTCAGCGCGTCTGCCTCGGAGAGGTTTTCGTACAATAGAATGCGGCCAGGCACGATGATGTCGGCCCAGTCCCGGCTGCTACAGAGCCTTCAGGAAGTCAAGCCTCGCGTAGTGTACGGCCCGAGTCTTTCGCCGTCCCAGGGATGGGACAAGTTCGGGGACGACGCCGCTGACTTGGCAGCGAAGGCAGGCGTCGTGTCCCATCCCCGGGCTTCTCCATCGTAGCTGGAGGAGGTCTCGAGGCAGACCAAGATTGTTAAAGCTGTGGTTCCCCCGGCGGCCCGTTTCCTGCCCCCGTGGCCCGCTCTGGACCTCAAGGATTGCCTTTGGGCCCGGCAGGAGCCCAGTCTCAGAGTCCCCCTTGGTCCAGGACTCTCTATCGAGCATGTTTGGAAGTGGTGCTGGACCTGTTGGCGCTGTTCAGTCTGCGTGAAGATGCGCAGACCTCTTTTGCATGGCGCGTGTGCGCGCCTCTACGAAGCAGGCGACGCCCCTTTCCCAAGGTGGGGCGTAAGGGTGAGGTGCCGTCAGCGTTCCAGGGCGTGGCCTCCACAGGCCACCGCCTTATTGAATTCCAGTGCTCTGGCGAATCATGTTTTTTGTTTGCGTGCGGTGCGAGGCCATCACACGCATGGGTCCATTCAGCTTCCTGGCTAGTAATGGACGGACCCCACACGCAACAACCTGGGGATATGTAAGTACAGAGTTCTCAAGGGTAAGCGCCCCAAGCGAGATGGAGTGCTGCTTGATGTTTTCCTGCTGACTGCTGAATGTAGAGAAGAAGGCATGGCCAATGATATTATAATTGTACATCTGTTGTGCCACTCTCTCTCTCTCTCTCTCCTCGGCCGTCGCTCCTCCCTTCTCGCCCAGTGTTCCTCGCTGATCGGTCCTCGCTTCCCCAACCTCCCCCCTCGACCCTGACTCATCGCTGCTTGCTCCTTGCTCCTCGCTCCACTCACGAGCTGCAGGTTGCATCACCTAGCAAGGGTACTGAGAAGCAGCACCCTGCAGAGTCAAGCAGCAAGACTGAGCAACAGCAGGCCGCTGCAGGCAACAGCAGCACAGCAAGCAGAGGCGGCAACAGCATGCCGCGGGCAGCAGCACTCTGCAGCTGCAGGCAGCGACAGCCGACACGAAGTTCGGGCTCAGCGCCATCACGCGAGCCTCTCGGCATCATCGGTGCCCTGGTCCAACGTGCCATCTCGGATTTGCTTCGAGGGCGGGAGGCTACGGGTCAGCCCTAGTCAGCTACAACGCTGGGATCAGCACCTGCGAGAAGGGCCGACAGTGGCAGCAGGCGCTGGCGCTGCTGAGCGAGATGCGGCAGGCGAAGCTGGAGCCCGACGTTGTCTGCCTTATAGCGCCTGGGAACCGCGTGCCAGAAGGAAACCGGATCACACATGCCTGGCGAAAGACCCGGCCAGATGCAGCTGTGGGTACCGCGAGACCAATGGAAACTGAGGGAAGGGGCCAGCAGCCAGCAAATGGACGAAGGCGCGCCTGCGAAGGACGATGAGTGCGTGGGGAGGACGGAGCGACGTTGCTGATGGGGTCGCAGAGGCCGGCCGTAACTGGTTACATCTGGATGTAGCCCGTTACGGCTGATCTGCGCGTCTGTCGGCGTGCGTGTTTCCATTGAGGCTTTAGGCGAATCTCCCTATAGGTATAGGGGCCACGAAACTTGTGAGTGGTGGAGAAAAGGCTGGGGCCGCTGGGGCCTAAGGTGGAGCTCCCGATGGGGCCACGAAGCGTGTGAGAGCTACGCCGGAATGGCGTGGACCAGGTATGCGAACCCAGCCACTGGGGCTTCAGTTGGAAGTCTGTCTGGGGCCACCAAACGTGTGATTGGTGCGCCGAAATGGTGTGGACCAGGTCTGCGAACCCAGCCGCTCGGTCTTCAGGTGGAGCTCCTTATGGGACCACGAAACGCGTGAGGGGTGCGACGAAATTGCGTGGACCTGGTATGCGAACCCAGCCGCTGGAGCCTTAGGTGAGCTCCCTATTTTCTTTCGAAGCGTGTAAGGGGTGCGCCGAAGTGGTGTGGACCTGGTATGCGAACCCAGCCGCTGGATTCTTAGGTGGAGCTCCGTATGGGGCCACGAATCGTGTGAGGGCTGCTCCGAAATGGCGTGGACCAAGTGTACGAACCCAGCAACTCGGGCCTTAGGTGGAGCTCGCCATGGGGCCACGAAATGTGAGGGTTGTGCCGAAACGGGGTGGACCAAGCGAACCCAGCCACTCGGGCTTCAGGTTGAGCTTTCAGTCGGGCCACGAAGCGTGTGATGGTGCGCCGAAATGGCGTGGACCGAGTATGTGACCCTGCCGCTGGGGCCTACAGAAGGTGGAGCTCCATATGGGGCCACGAAGCGTGTGAGGGGTGCGCCGAAATTGACACGCGGAGGGCAGAGGCGGGTATAGGAGTAGGGAGGAGGGGGAGGAGGAAGGAGGGAGGATGAGATGCGAGGAAGAGAGGGCGCGGGGCGCTGTCTTTGCAGAACGAGGGCCCAACACCACAGGACGATTGAGAAAATCTGGCCCCGGCGCGCACCAGGCCCCCCCCCCCCGGGAGGCTCCAAGACGGCCCAAGAGGGCCCCAAGACGGTCCAAGATGGCCCAGGACGCCTCCAGACCAGGATGCTGCCAGTATGGCTTTCAGACGGCGCAGCAAGGCCGCAAGACGGCCCGAGAGGGCTGCAAGAGGCCCCAAAGAAGGGCTCCGAGAGGTCAGTATTGTTGGTTTCTCTGTACGTTTTGAATACTTTCTTAGCGGTCTCGCTTTGTCTCTATGCTGGCAGACGGCCCAAGAAGCCACCAAGATCGCCCCAACATAGCCCAAGAGGGCCCAACGCAACCCAAGAGGGCCTCCAGACGGCCCAAGACGACCCCAAGACGGGCCAAGAGGCCCAGTAGACGGACCAATACAGCCCAAAGGGGCCTCAACAGGGGGAACTCGTTCCCAGAAATCGCCAACAGGCACCCAAGAGGCCCCCGAGAAACCCTAGGAGAACCCCCAAGAGGCCCAAATCAGGCCCCAAGAGGCGCCCAGGTGGCTCCAACACGGCCTCAGACAGCCCCACTACCGTTCCGAGACGCTCGGGATGGCGGAGGACGTCCCAGGAGAACCCGAACAGAGCCCCATGACAGCCCAAGACGGCCCGACGACGGGCCAAATGCCTCCGAAGACACCCCCCTAAGTGCCCCAAGACGGCCCCAGAGGGCCCGAAGGTTGCAGAAGCCGAAGACAGCCTCACACAGCTCCTGGTGGCCCCGAAGCTAGCCCCAAGAGGGCCCTAGGAGCTGCCCAAGGGCACCGCGGCGAGCTCCAAGACGGCCCGAGACTCCCAACATGGCCCCAGGACGGCCCCCAAGAGGCCCCCTGAACGGCCCAAGAGGGCCCAGGAGGACCCCGACGACGGCCCCACGAGGCGAAAAAGCAAGCTAAAACCATGCATGCGTCTTCCGAGGTTTTCCACGTTCTCCCCATGACGGGCCCAGAACGGCCTCCCACACAGCTCCAGGTCCTTGTAGGATCGCACCGAGATGGCCCAAGAGGGCCTTACGAGCCCACCAAGACGGCCAACGAGCGCCCCTAGACGGGCCAGACGGGCCCTGGCGAGCCTCACAAAGCATTACGTTGCCCCCCGAGACGTCCCAGGAGTTGCCCAGTAGGAGGGCCCAAACGAGACTCCCTGACTGCCCCAGGCCCCCATCATGGCCCAAAGGGCCCAAGAGGGCCCACGAGGGCCCACGAGGACTCCGAAGACAGACCCAGGAGACCAGAAGTCAAGCAAAAGCCGTGTGTTTTTCAATGTTGCCCGCACTCTCGCCATGACGGGCTCAGGAGGGCCCCACGCAGCGTCAGGCATTCTCGCGATCGCCCCACGATGGCACAAGAGGCCTCAACGAGCGCACCAAGATTGCCCAAGAAGGCTCCAAGCCGGCCCCAGACGGAGCTCCAGGAGGCCCTCCAATACGCACCAGGCCTCCGTACGGCCCTCCAGGGGGCCCCCGACGGATGCTACAACAGGCCGTTGCAGCATGCGTCGGGGGCTCTCTTCGTCCTCTCACGGGAGCTTTCTGAGGCCTCCTCCGGCCGTCCTAAAACAGGGCTAGGATCGGGATACATCGCTCCAGAGCGTTCCGGAGCGCTCTCAGAGCGTTCCGGAACGCTCTGGAGCGGCCGCGGCGCCCAATACATCCTCCAAACCCGCCGATTCTCAGAGATTTCGAGTTATCCCGATCCGATTTTGTCCCGATCTTCGCGTCGTTCTACGTCCTGGATCTCTGTGGGGACGTGCGCGAGCACAGACGGCCCTTTTCGGAGAGGCCCACGAGCCCCCTTCGGGCCCCAGCACCACGAGATCCCTCCCCGGACAGGCAACATCCTTCCCCTCTTTCTCTTCCTTCTCCTCCACCAGTACTGCTGCTGCTGCTGCTGCTGCTGCTGCTGCTGCTGCTGCTGCTGCTGCTGCTGCTGCTCCTGCTCCTGCTCCTGCTCCTGCTCCTGCTCCTGCTCCTCCTCCTCCTCCTCCTCCTCCTCCGAGATGGCGCAGACCTCCCCGGGATGTTCGAAGGCAGCCTCCAGCCCCAGCTCCCCGAGCCTGCCGCAAGCCGTGCAGCGGACCTCGGGGACGACAGGGGGGATCTTTCAACAGCAGCCCCACACCTCTTCCTCCTCCTCCTCTCCAAATTCTCCTCCTCCTCCTCCTCCTGCTCCTCCTCCTCCTCCTCCTCCTCCTCCTCCTCCTCCTCCTCCTCCTCCTAGGTGGCTTGGCACCGTGGCCCCCGCCCCACGCCCCCCCGCAGCCATTTTGCCTGCGGGCGGGCGCCGCGGGGCCCGCGCCATAGCCCCCGCGCCGGCGGCCCGCAGCGTGCGGGCGCCTGCACATCGTGCTATCCAGGGTGGCGCTGGCGGAATAGCCGCCTGTGGTATTGTGCAAGGGTCGGGCTGCGCTTCGCCGCGGCCCCCGCCAGGCGTGCTGGGCATCACGGCGACCGCAGGAGCGCCCGTGGCATGGCCCAGCAGCAGCCCAGGCAGGCTGCGGCCCCGCCCCAGCAGCCCAACTGGCCATGTGCCGCGTCGAGGCTATGCGGGTTCCGCAGCAACTTCCCCAGCCGCGACACGTGCTGGAAGTGCGGCAGGGACCGCCTCGGCCGCCTGGTCCGCGAGTCGCCCGCCTCATCTGAGCAGGGCGGGAGGTCGGCATCTGCGAGCCGTCGCCGTCGCTCTGGCCCTCCTCCTCGCGGGCGTGCTGGTCCTGGTGGGGCAGCCCAAGGAGAACCTGCTGGGCCTGCAGTCGTGCGTGCCAGGCAAGGACTGGCGGCGCTCCAGAAGCTTGGCTACGCCGACGAGCACCCGCTCATCCAGGCTGCGCGGCAGGAGCTCGCCACCCTGGAGGCTGAAGAGCGTCGCGCTCAGCCCCCTGAGCAGCTCTTGGTCTCCCTCCAGAAGCGTGTGGAGGAGGCGCGGGCTAGAGCCTCTCAGCTGGCGGACGACCTCGGCGAGGCCATCGCGAGGGTCGACGACCTCCGCAGGCAGCAGGGTGTGGCCGACGTGGAGGTCAAGAACCTGGAGGCGGAGGTCCAGGCTGCCCAGCGCGCCGTGGCGGCCTCGGCGGCGGGCTCCAGTGGCGTCGACTTGGCAGCCCTCGCCTCCACGCTGGTGGGCCTCCAGGCCACGCTCGCCAGTGCCCCTGCACGCGTCGCCAGTGGGCAGGGTATCACAGTCTTGGAGGCGATCGGGCAGCAGGTTGCAGCGCTTGGCACAGCGTTCCCCGCCGCCTCAGCCCTCATGGCTGCAGGTGCTGCGGCTGCCCCCGCTGCCGCTGGAGCAGGAGGCCCGCCAGACTCCCTGCCAGCTGCCACAGCTGCCACGGCTCCCCCTGCCGCGGTGCTGCCTCCTGGCGCTGCCTACGCGTTTCGCGCTGGCGGGGGAACCGCCGCTGCAGCCTGGGAAGCCGCAGGTGAGGCCGACATGGAAGGCTAGACGCCGTGGGCGTCGTGGCAGCGCCCGCGTGAAGGCCTCTTTCGTCACCTACAACGGATCGCCCTGGGCTTCATGCAGGGAGTTTCTGACCTGCTGCGACCTTAGCATCCAGGTGGTGGCGGCCCAGGAGTTGCGCATCGATGGTGATGACCGTCGGCGCGCTGAAGGCTGGGCTGCACGGGCTGGGTGGCATGCTATTATTTCATCTTGCAGACGTCTGGAGTCGGGGCGCCCGTCTGCTGGAGTTGGTCTTTTCGTTCGACGTCACATCAGCGCGACGGTGCTGCCAGGCTTGCGAGGTTTTGACCTGATTCCGAGCTCTTGTGT